CTGACACTGAAAGAGCTGCTGACCTTTAACTGTGATATTACAGAGTGAAAATGAGGACATTCTGATAGGAAAATGGAGCATTGTGTGTCATCATGTACAAATCATTAAGGCTGGTACCCTGAGATAATTGACTAGCCAGGAAATTTTCAGAGAATTAAAGAGAACTATTTAATTTCACTGCTTCTCTGTGAAGTGTAAGTTAGTACCTGTTTTTAAATGAATGTTCAATTACTGAGCAATCCCAAACTGGTAATTTGGTTGTGCCCTCAGCAGTAACTGTGGCAGGCTGAGTGCAGCCCCAGCACTTCCACTGCGTGTCAGACAGCAGGAGAGGAGCAGGAGGATATGAACAGCAGGAGAGGAGCAGAAGGATATGAACAGCAGGATTGTCACAGCCTCCTGTGCTATGCACGCATCTCCCACTCCACACCATGGATCAGCAGACATCACGTGCCAACTAGAAGCTAAACTGAAGCTCCTCTTGTGATTGCAGGGCTGTTTCCATAAAGCCAAGGGAAGATAGCACATAAATACACAACACAGAACAGCTAAAAGCCGCATAATGGAAACCTTTAGGGTGAATTGAATAGTTGTATGGGACAGGGTAGATATCTGGAGTATTTTGAAGAACTGTGACAGCAATGACAGTCTCTTCTCACTAACTCATCAGCAAGGTACAGAATGAGCATGTTTGAGAAATAAAACAAAAGTAAAAGCACTAAACCCTTTAATTAGTGAAAGGGCTTTCTCAAGGTTTGTACCTGGTGTTTCACTTTAATAGCCTCACAGATCCAGCTTGGCAATAAAAGACATAAATGTAACATCCTCAAACAGCCCACAGCTGTTTGGAAGGTGCCTGTGGCTTCTTCCCTGGCCACTTTGGCTCCAGACAATGCTGGGGAAGGCTCTCCTGTGCAGGCCCCTTCTTTACCCCCTTCTTCTGCTGCTACAAGGCGTTTAGAGGCAAACCCAAAATGAAAAGAGATTATTCCACATCAAATTCACATGAAAAATGCTTATCTGGAACACAGGTATTTATTATCTTGATGCTCATGTTCCTGGTCACTTCACATGAACAATAGTGGAAGTCACTTGAATGGTATCCAAGGAGACAACTTCACTGAACTAAACTAATTAATCCTCTCTTGCTGCTGTTTACAGCTCTTTTTAAGCAAGCAGTGATTGATCCTGCAGAGCCGGTTATGGCTCCTCCTTAAGGACTGCTTTATACAGATATGTACTACATTTATCAGAGCTGGGTTTGCCTCTTAAAGTAATGTTATTAAGCTTTTCCATTTCATTCCTAGCATATTATTTTCCACTTTTAACTACCAGCCTCTAGTTCACATTATTTCTCCACGGATTTAATTTCCCTTTAGTTTCAGTAACATGGCTATCACCCATATATGATTCCATTTCTGGTGTGTTATTCGGATTTTGCCACCAGGTGTCATCAGAAGGCGCACCAGCACCGCGGCTCCCGCCTCCCGATGGATTTGGGAACCCCGGGGTGTGCGTAGGGAGTGCATGGGGGGTGTCATTAGCTGCCAATAAACTGACACAGTAGTAAGGGGGTCACACTTCTGATTTCCTCACGGCTTCCTTTGTTTAGTTAGACACAACGCAAACCACACGCTCCAGATGTTTGCACTGTGGTGGGGACACCAGCCTACCTTTGTTTTCCTAGGAGTCATTCCAAAGTCTGCCTGGATTTGCAGTCCTCATTAGCAAGCCTGGAAGAAGTCATTCTTCTTGTGTCTGGCCTTAAAGGCTTTTCAACCAGCCACTGGAACTCCCACGAGATCTACAGGATAAAAAACAAATTGGAAAGGCATCAGATAGGACACACTCATTCATTCCAGGGTTTCTGTAAGTACTTCCTTCCTTCCTCTCTTCCTGGTAGATTGTGAAGTAATTTTTTTCCCAAGCAAATGTAGCTCTTCATTTTTGTTCTCTATCTCACCCTCTTCAAATTTTCAGTTTTTTTCAACAAAAAAATATTCAATGCTGTTTCTACCTGTCGCAGTTGACCTCCCCATTTCTGTAGGCCATCACTTGCCCAGTTCTCAATTTCTATATTAATTTACTGCATAGGGCATTTCCTTCTTTTCATGTGAACCAGAAGCTTGGATGAATCAGTGTTCCCCAGGGCTGTTAATTAGACATGTGATACAAAGGAATAAGCTTGCCCTCACTTCTCCAGGCAGCTGGGCACCGTGGGATCTTGCTATCCCCCTTGCTATCTGCATGGGGGCAAAGCAAGCCCAGCCAGCAGGGTGCCAAGGTGGCACAGACACTGCTTTTTTAGATAGCATCTCCTGGAAATTTACAGAAAGAACATTGCAGTAGGGAAAGACCAGCACCACTAAAGTCTTTAGTATCTTTCAGACAAGCAAATCAGCTCCAATGCACAAATAAATTACATATTTCCAAATTTTTGTTATTTTGTTTCAGGTTATAGAACATTTTAATTGATTTATCATTCCTGATAGGTCTAGTTTTCGGATTTTTCCCTTTTGAGGGAGCTTTAGCTGGACTGGATGCTGTCCAACACTTTTTAACTCAGTTGGCTTCTAGCTGGGCCAGCACATGATCCTGCTTCCCCCTGGGATTTGAGGGGAGCAGCCCTGTGTCTTCATTTGCAGTTATTCTTATGCGTGGAGAATAGCAATGTCTTTTTCAGTCAATCTCTAGGAGGAGAGAAAGAAACCTGATTAAACAAAACAAAGAGTCTCGAGCTAGAAACCCTCTACTTCCCACACCCTTGATGCCCAGTATTGGAAGCACACCAGGCAGGAAAGGGTCCCAGGTCAGTACTGAAAGTCTGGCCTGTGCCTTTGTCTTGCATGAGATAGGCTGCTTACATAAAATCCAGTCTTCAGAGAATTCCATAAACTGAATTTACTGCTAACTACAACCCTAGATTTCACACAGGATGGGCTATTATTAATATCCCATCTATTTGACCTAGTTTCTGTCGACTGTAAAGTGCCACATTTAAATTTAACTTCTGAAGGAAAAATAATTGAATTGAAAAATCAATCACTAGGCAATTTCACATTCGGTTCATTTAAGGTCAAGTTATTGCTGTCTCAGAGAATAAAAGTTTTCTTAATGGATCAAGTTCAGGAGTGATGTGAAATCAGGCATAATTACATACTGGCTAATGAGCCTAAACTGGCACACAGCATACATATTGAGAGGTATATATCCATTTACACCCTCTTTGACTCACTTATTACTTGGACAAGAAGACAAGGGGCAGGAATTGCCACCAGGGGCTTTGGATGGTTCAAAAGGCCACAGCTGAGGCAGACAAGTACCAGCTTGCTTCCTGCATGAGCAGGCCAGGACTTGGCAGGGGGATCACAGGTGGCTTCCCAAGGGTATTTCTGCTCATATGCAGGAACTATGCCAGATGTGATCTGCTGTGGGTAACTGTCCTTTGCAATCCATATGGTACCATTTCCACCATTCTACCCCTTCCTAGGTCTCTAGGGAAGTCCTAGTCCCAGTCCAAGGTGAAATCCAATGTGTTCAACTTACTTTAGACTTTAGTCTTCTTCCTCTATGTTTGGAATTTCTGTAGAAAATCAATCATAAACCAGTTTGAGATGTTCTTGGATCTTACACCTAATTGGTTCTCCAGCTCAAGGTGCTTGGGTTTCCACCTATTTTTTCAAACTGCAATAATTTCATTCAGCAGAGCATCATCAACAGAATTTTGTAGTACTATGAAGCATAAATGTTTTCTAACTGCATCATGGTATATTCATCTCCACTGTTCACAGATCTTAGCTCAGTGTAACTCAGTTCTAAATTAAGTAAATAATTCCAGATTTAAGGCTTTGCATTTGGCTTTTGGGCTTTTTCTTTTCAATTTAGCTTATGGGCTCTAATTAAGTATGAAAGTATTTGCCTATAAAAAAGTATCACTAGTATTCTTGTTACATCATGATAAATATCAGTTCAGGTTAAGTTTTTAATATGTCATTTCACAAGTAAGATTTTATCATATACTATATTTTAAAATATCTTGTCAGGTTCTGTGGAAAAGAATTTTATTGACTTATAACAATAAACTCTGAAGTAATTAATTGCTTTAGGATAGTAATCAGCAAAGTGCTTTAGAAAAGTATCTTTTTCTTTTAATGACATATTTCTCAGTCTGTTTGTAGGGAAGCAATGTTGGTTGTCCTAATTAATTCTTGCACATGAAGTATATTTAAAATATAGCCTTAGCAGACTCAGTTTTACAGACATGCAGAACTTCTACAGCTTAAAGCTGTAGTGCTAAAGGGGAAAAAGCTATATGCAAGTTTAACTGCACTCATCTTAAAATAACAGCAGCTGGCCACAAGAAAATGTATCTATCTGCATTACTTTCTTTACTCTCAGATGCAGAACAAATCAAATATCCCTTGTGCAACTCAACAGAGTTACACTTTTATTCCTAGTTTTGCATTTCAAGGTAGCATGGAACTTTAGAAGGAGTCACAGATTTTTAGTCTTTATCTGCACATCAAGTCAGAATTTCTAACATACAGATTCTTGATTTTCTTTTCTACAGGCATGACTGTGGGAGGAACACAACTGGTGAGACAGCTGCAGTGAGGCTGCAAGGATTCTGCTCACCAGAGACCTACAGATTTTAAGGGTGCAATTATTTCCAGTCCCCTTTTTCCTGTTACCTTCATTCCTGGGTTGGTGAAGGAAAGGAAATTACTTAGCTGAAATTCCTTTATGCAGAAGTTCTATGACATTTTTGTCCACTGTATTTTTCCTTCATCAGGAGATCAAGCAAAGGCCAGGTCAGAGCACGGGGCTGGGCTGTGTACTTTGGTCTCAAAGCTTCTTGTCCCAGCCAAGACTCTATCTCCAGGAGAAGGCATTGGGCAGATCAATGACAGCATGGGAGGACTCTTTGAAAATACAATTAATTACAAAATCAGATTTACTTAATTAAAAAGCTCAAAGAGTTCTTCTAACTTAGCCATATCTTGAGAATATTAAAAATTATTTTCAGTACATAAAAATGCATCTAAAAAAGAAGACAAGAGAAGGACGCTCAGTGTGAAGTTTGCATGCAACAGTAAATCATATTTTACCTTCCTTTTGTTTATGTTTTTCTTTTAATCAATCTGAAAGTTTTTTAGCAGACTGAATATTTCTATTATAAACCTACATTCAGCTGTTCCAGGTGTGACAAGCTCTACTGAGCTTTTCTTTGGTCTGTTGTTGTCCTCCTGGTATGAAGTCTCTGTGGGAGCTGCAGAAATGCTTGGCAGCAGCTCTCAATTCCTTACAATGCCTACACAGAGATTTCTTTGGAGCTTCACATTCACCCTGTATACTTTCAATCAGTGCCAAGAAGAAAAGCATTTCTCCTGGGAAGTGGTGGTGTTAATTTTTTGACTTCTTTATAATCTAAAGGGACACTAGTCAGTCATGTTATTCCAAGGTTTAACTTTGAAAAGTGAGTTTCAACACAGCAGAAACATTTTATTTGTTTAGCTTGTTTCAATGCTGCTAGAAATAAGATCAGTCCCAGGAAATATGGGGAAAATCCCTCTATCAGCAGTATATGCAGACCAAGTGTCATGCCTTCTTAACAGTACACAGAAATAAGAAAATCAGTCAAACTGCTCTACTGTTACAATTTGATTTTTTTTTCTCTTTATAATACCTGTCCATACTTCATAGAGATCAGCTAATGTATGGCTCCAGGTTGTACCACACCAAGGCAGCCCTGCCTGTGGGCTGACTGCATCAGAGTCATGAGCTGCAGGATAAGTGCCAAAGATCAGAGAAGCCAAGCATCCAAAATTCCCAAAAGCTGTAGCCAGGACACTCAGCTGTTTGAGGAGAATGGCATCACTGTTCATCTTTCCTGTTATGAGACAAAGAAAAGAACTGTGATGTGATCTCCAATTTACTTTCTCAGCTATTCCCTTTAATAACAGATAATGGACAAGAGACTGACTTCCCATCAGCACAGGGCCCTGGCAGTCTGTTTCACAGACTGCTTTGATTCAGTCCTGCTAGAACTGCCCGTGTCTTCTTTTTTTTTTTTTTCCCAAAAATCACTGGCTGGTTTTAACGTCTTGGTGCTTCTTTTCATATAAAAAACTTCCTTTGTCTCCACTGCATGTAAAAGAGACACTCACAGAATCAAAATTTTCTTACTTTAAATCAAACTAGAAAGCACATGTGTTGGAACACATCATTGTGTGAACTGCTTGTTGAAAGCATGCAGCCAAGAGTTGAGAGAAGGTGGGAACAATCACCACTATCAACCTTCCAAACACCAACCAAAAAAATTTGATGATTTTCATGTTCTCTATCTGTCATTATAATTCCTTTGACAATGTGGTGAAATATATTCCTAAAACGAAAGAGGACAATTGTAATTTTTTTGTTCCTACCTTCTTAAAAGAAACTTTATATGCTATCTGGAGTCCACTTCTATTGACCTTACTCTCTGGAAGCATCCAAGTATATTTTAGAAGAATCAGATAATTTAATATGTGGTTGAACTTGAAATAAATTTTCCATATGGCATGTTTTAAGGATGTCTGGCCATGTCAATACAAAGAATAATTTCTATTAAAGTTCTATCTTCAATATCAATGTTCTATGTTACAGAAGTAGGGAGTTGAATGTCTACTTTAGAAGAAACACATGCAGGTGAATAGAAAGAAATAACCATCACTATCCCAGTTTCTTCATTGCTTTCTGGTAATTCCTTGACTTGGAACATTTGCCAACTCTGGAGATGTTGACAGTAAATGTAATTGTGCCTTGTGGACAATTAATAGGGTTTCTGAGCTTACGGCACATCAGAGCTTTTTCAAGTCACAGGATAAGATTTGGCAGTTAATACTGTAGCCCTAGCATAAGAAAATGAAAAAAAGAAATTGAGTGTTTTAGCATGCAAATGTATTTTGTAAGACACAGGAAAAGAAATGCCAGTAGAATGGGTTGGAATAGTGAAGTTCCAGGAATGGTCCACTTCATAAGATCTATCAAGCCTCTGTAAAACTGCTCTTTAGTTTAAGTCTTCATTTAAAAGTTGTCTTTAAGTGACAACTTAAGTGCATTTCAAATCACAACTTAATTCTTGCTCACTCACAATTAAATAAAAACTGATGGTGGTGTTTGTAAATGTGTTCCTCTCCTGAAATGCCCGTGAATGCACTGCACCTCTCAGTAGCTCACACATCACCGTGGTGCAGAGAGAGCTCCCTCTTCTCTTGCAGCCTACCTTGCCCACTCCCATCTTGCTGCCTCCTCCCTCAACTGATGGAGCATCATCCTAACACATGGCAAGCAGCTGCAATGCAGATTTAAAGTGTCTCAAATTTCCCTTGAGTTCCTTTGAAAAATAGATAAGAGCAATGGCAGGCAACATATATAAGGAGGTGAGTATTTTCAGAAGGAGAATAAAACTATTTAATGCTCTTTTTCCTGTGACAGAAGACTGCAGAGCAGGCCAGCTCTGATGATTTAGAAGGCACCAGAATGTTCCCAGCATTCAGTCCCAGGGAGGGAACAGCAAGTCATTATTTTAAAATTAACTTTTTAATTTGAAAATGTGGATGTAATTCTTATCACCCTCTACATTTGAACAATTCTGGTGCCTTTGCTACCACTAATCAGGATCTCCCACACTAAACAATTTACAGAAAGCAACCCTTGAAGCTGATTTATGAGCCAGGTGCCTTGTCTGGCAGCACAAAGGGCACACGTGGTAGAAAGTATCTGTGTTTCCATGGTCTCCTGCCCTCATGTATTTGTCAAAGGCAGGTAGGGGAGAAGGGGGAGAACATAACCAAAGTCTGTTTAGCATCAGCAAGGAACTGAGTCTGGGATTTATGTTTTTTTCTGTCACAGGTAAAAACTTCATTTGTTAATGAAGTTCAGCCTGGTGTCAGGCATTATGTTCCTGTTCCCATCTCCCTGTCCTTGGGGAATGAATAATTCAGCAGCAAACATGCACCTGGGAAAGTCACAGGTAAACGTCATACTGGATGGGGTTTTCTACATGAACTCTGATTGCCTCTGCAATCAGAGGCAGGAAAACAAGATGCAGGAAAAACCTCTGGAAAGGAGGGAGGCATAGACTTGAGACTCTGGAGAATTACTTTTCCACAACGTGGCTATGCTGCAAACAGTGCTGTTCTCCAGGGTGGCTGGACTGTGTTCCTAACAGGAGCATCACCCCCAGTGGAGTTACAACGGCAAGAAAGAGCAGGGGTGGAGCCAGTGCATTTGTTTTCACATAAAACAAACCCCCACTATTTCATTTGCACCGTTGGGCAAGGGGTAGGCTCGCACTATTGGACTGTGAACACTAGCTGAGCAGCTCCGGTGAAGTCAAGCAATGAAGATCCATTTTTCATTCAGCCTTTGCAGAAAACGTTAGAGAATGTTTTAAAATTCAAATTGCATACGAAAACCTGATTTGGCACAGTTCGATGTGAAAATTAGTTTTGAATCCAGCTACCACCTCCCTTCCTGAGGAGATAATATGTCCTGAAAAGCAAGAGTTTGCAGGCATCACTGACCCTCCAAGGCAAGCGTCGTATCTGCCAGGAAATGTGCTTAGTATAGTCAAGGTTGACAGAGTTTCGACAGATAAAATAAGAAGACTCACTGTTATGCTGTCCCCTATTCTTAGGCTTTCTTATTTGCTAAAATCTGACATCAGAAAATCTCATGACAGTTTTACTCTCCCTGCAGTGGTGGTGGTTCATTTTAAGGGAGGGGCAGGAGGTGGGTTTGGATTTTTGCTGCCATAACTGAGCTTTAGGAAATAAATTGAAGGTGGACTTTTGGTGACTTATAGTTTAGGGAGTTGAACTTTGAAATTGAAGGGCAGAATGGAAAAATCTTACCAGCACCTACTGGAAAATGAAAACAGAGTTCACTCAGGGGATGGAGAAGGGAGCTGACATCTTGACAAGCTATGAGAACTCATACCTAGGAGCCTGATAGAGGGCTAGAAAAACAAAGGCGTGGTTTGATGTGGTCAAGGAAAGAGCTAGAGAGAGTCAGCAGATATAATCAGAGGGTGAGGCAGGACAATACAGCAATAGGTTCAGACATGGGATGACAAGAGATTGGATGGCAGAATCAATCCTTGAACGGTGGGAATATGTTCCTCCTCTCACAGCTGGAGGAGAGAAAAGTGTCTTAATGGAGAAGTAACTTGGGTGGATGGCTCTAGGGAGAAACCTTAACCAAAAATTACATCTTTTATGAGCAAGATACCTCCTGAAGAAAATAAAAAACCCTGGGGAAACAAAATGGAAATGTCCCTTGCTGGAGCCTGTGTCTGGATCTGGAGCCTTAGAGAGGATGCTCTTTGCCTGAAATATCCTGAAAACTGCAGCTCAGATTTATAGCTCAGTTCAGCTGTAACTCTGACAGCATCAACTGGCTGCTAAACACGTTGGGCATTTAAATCTGCTGAAATTACATTGTATATCTAAAGTGCAAACTGCAGTTTTTGAAAAAGAAGCCTTTGTGCTGTGGCTGCTTCTAGCCTAGCAAAATAATTCACCGTAGCTAACATCTTCTAACAAATATGTTTTCCAGCACTACCACAGTCAAATACTTTCACGTAAGATGGATGTATTTGTTTTAGCAAAACTCACAGAGGCCTGAAACCCATCACATTGCAATTACTGCAAGGTCCTTTTTCTGGTCTGAAAAATACAGCCTCAGCCCTTCCCAAATCCAGAAACAATATTGCAGTACAAATAATTTCTCCTTGCTGCCACTTTGAGTGCCTTACCTTTCCAGGTACATCCTCCTTTCAGTTCTCCTTCTTCAGCCTGTTGCAGGCAAGATGTTTGTCTTCATTTTTTCAGGCATAGCAGGTGCCCACTGTGTTGTGAATCATCAGTCAGTATTTACTGCTGTAAAGTCTCCATCAGCTGTTAATTGCCCTGTAATACAATGATTACTTTTGATTTTTCAGCAGACTTTATTATCTTTTAGAATTATTGATTCATTTAACATGACAGGTCTTCTGGAGGTCACCTATTCCACTACTACTCAAGAGTGGATATTGCAATAACCTTCCAAGCATGGCAACCAGCAATGCAGGCATTACCCACTATCACTTCAAAACTTTTTTTCATCTGTATGTTCACAATATACTTTCCTGCAGCTCCTGGCTGCCTACTCTCATCCTCTCATGGTGCTTCTCTGAGAAACATCAATCTCTCTTCCCTGTGACCCCAGGTTAGGCACTTGAGGACAGTGGCCTTCTCTGGGCTCAACAGACCCACCTCACTTTCCTGAACACAATATGCTCATTTTTTGACCACCTTTTGACCTTCTCCCAGACTTATTCCCATTTGTTGGTCTCTCTCTCACCAGAAGCCCCAGGCTGGACACGTTCCTCCAGGTGAAGCTGTGCAGAGGGGCTGTCACATGCCTTAAGCTGCTGCCTGTGGCTCTGGTACCACAGCACCGAATGCAGCCCAGTTCTGCTGCCTCCAGGGCACACTGCACACTCGAGCTCCCTTTGTCCACCACACATCTGGATGTCCCCTGCCTGCCCAGGCCCTTTCCCACAGGGCTCCTGCTGGTGATGGCCAGTCACCATACTGCAGAGCAGGCTCCTTCCCCAGCTCCTTTCCCTGGCATCTCTCCATGTCCCCCAAGTTCCCATCAAACCAGGTCTGCAGCTTGCCTAGGTCCCCATGGAGGGCAGCCTTACTCTCCAGCACACCAATGGAAAAGGAGGTTCCTGCTCTGGCACTCACATGTCCTGCCCAAGGACCCCACCCCACCGCACAGGTTCCCGGGGGCTCTCTGTCCTGCCCAAAGACCCCATTCCACCGCACAGGCTCCCAGGGGCTCTCTGTCCTGCCCAGGTCACTGCAGAGTGCCTTTGGTGTCACTGGCCTGAGGGACAGAGCGGAGTGGCTGCCATGGGCTGCCAGCAGCTGTCCCACTCCTGGAGCTTGGTGGCCCAGGCTGTCCTACAGCTCATTGAGGACATTCCCCCTGCCTTTGGTGCCCACATTTGCCTGCTGGGATTCTGGGAGAGCCGGTGTTGGAAGCGTCACCAAAGCCAGCCTCAGAGCACCTGGCTCCCTTGGCTGTGCAGATGGGCCCCTCATGGCAGCCAGGCAGCACTCAGGCCTTTTGGATGTGGTTTTGTGTTTTGTAAACCCATGCTGGCGAATCCCAACCACCTACTTGCTTTCACATGCCCAGATCCTCATTCCTGACATTTTTGAAGACAGGCATGAAATTGTCCTTTTCACAGTCCCAGGAGACCTCCCTCAGCTGCAGCCTTTCAAAAGCACTGTCTCAGATTGGTCTCCTCCGCTTCAGGTACTCAGCAGGACCTGGCTCTTGGCATCCAGCACAGCACTCTATCGATACAAATAAATATGAACAGGACACAAAACCAAATATAAACATTTCTAAAACAGTGTTAGTTTAATAATAAAACATTGTATATAGAAAAATTCTAGACATTAAAAAAAATAGTTTTACCTGAAATGCTGGTAGTTCCAAGAAATACTGCAGGATGTTTCAGCTGTCACTTGAAACAAGCAAAAACTATAGAAGCCACAGTAAGAAAATTATTCTGACCACTGTGAGCAGATGATGGCTGTGGAGATTAAATGTCCAACCAGGCATGAAAAAATAGCGAAGTGCCTCACTTATTCAAGGTGACATGTTCAAAAGATATACAGTAAAGCTCACTTTACTGGATTATTGCCAGATCCCTAAAGAGAGTGGAACACTTGCTGCAGAGTTTAAAGCCAATGCTTTTTCCCCAGAAAAATGTGACAAAATCTTTTGTAAAACTTTTTCACCATAAAATTCATAGCTCAAGATCAGATTGTAAGGTAGTAAAACAAGGCAACATATTTTTAATGGAAAAGTCTCTTTTTTAAAGGAACTGCCTTTTAGTTTATCAGTAGATGGGCCCAGTGTAACATTATCAATAGAGTCCAAGCGCTGATATCGACTGGGCAATGTCCATGCTAGCTCCTATCTGGTCTTGCTATCTGACCAGAACTGGAAGGAAATATTTTATAACATTTTGACCCGAAGAAATGAGTGACACAAAGATTAGTGACCCTGTAGTGGTTATAGAATATTTTATCACCATTATTTTTCTTTTTTAAAAACCAGTGTATATAAATCTTCAGTCTGTACAGACTAGTGGACCACATCTCTGTTTGATAACCCTTTGTGATACAAGGACCATGATCCAGTCACACGTCCCAGCAGAAAGTTCCTGCTGATGTGTTGGTATCTGGTCTGGATCCTTCTTTTTCTGCTACAGAAAGATGGCAGTGCCAGGTGATAATCCCTGACCCACAGAGTGCCCTTATAGCTTTTGACTTTTCATACAGGAACAACTTGCAGCTCAGAGTGCAGCCACCAAATCTAGAAAAATAGAGGATATGATCCCATTACTGTCATCTTACTACCTTAGTGGTTTCCACATTTGGTGTCTTACTCAAAATTCTAACTGCACTGCCAAGATTGTTATCTGTTACAAGAAATGCATGAATTTCATAGCCAACCACGTGTCACGATGTAACACTTCAGGAGAAGGTATCCTAACATTACAAAAAAGCTGCTGATTGCGTTTGTCAGTGATACAACTTTCCACTGTAAAGCTCATTTTTTAAAAGGTGAGATCCCAGCAAAATGGGAGGATTTACCATTTTTCCTGTAATTATCATTTCAAATGCTTTGTCCTGCATGTGTAGGCAAAACTTTGGTGGCAAGCAGAATTTCAATACACAAAATACAAAAAGTTAACACAGAGTTTTGATTAAGAATCATCCTTGGTCACATCTTTTAGCTCCTTATATTTCACAGATTAATTCCTTTCACTGCTGAATGACATAACACATTCCTTCACTCTTCGTGACCCAAATATTTCTCCATTTTAAGATGCTCTTTGAAATAATCAGCTGTCCAACAAATCTACACATGCTTAACCCAGTCTCCTCCTTTTTTGTATTTCATATAGGAACATTTTCACTTGCAGAAACCTGTAATTACTTTAAATTTCTTATTATCAAAAGTAGAATAGTTCCTAAGGAACTAATTAAAATACAGAGTTCTGTAGACCTAGCTCATTTTGGACAGCAACAGGCTCCTGATAGGATTACCTTATCTGAAGGGAGCTGAGCAGTTAAATCTAACTCCCTGCAAAACCAGGCACAGACAGATGCACATGGCAGGGTGTCTACCTGTAACCCTGTGAGTCTCGGAGTCCACAAGATTAATACAAAGTCAACTGCTCTCCCAGAGGATGCTAAAAGCTTGGATTCCCTTAGCTACCTCTTTGGTAGATGATTTTCCAGTGAGTTATCCTCTCACAACACAACTAACAGCTCCACAGAACAGGGTAATTGGGGAGAATTACACCTGCAGAAAATGATCTCCAATAATGTTACTATGAGGTATATTTGGTCTGTAAAATCTATAAAGTTTCTGAAGTTTTTTTTTTTTCCCTTGGCCTTTGTGGATTTGTAATGGCCCTGTTGGCTTTAAATTAACCTTAACAGCCTTACAGTTGAGTCTTTTTACTCTTGTACTTCTTACTTTCCACTTTTTATTAACAAAGAGCAGGCTTTTAAAGACTAGCCTAAGCTTTTCAGCAGTAAAATAAGCTAAGTTCCCAGTTCTAAAAAAAGACAAGGCTTCCCCACACACCTCCCTTCAAAAGCTTGCTGCTGGGTCAAGCAACTGCAGACTGTGCCCATACTTCACAGCAAGTCCTGGCTCCCAAGTGACCTGCTTCTAGTCTCAAGTCTGTCCAGGCTGGTTTTAAAGTTAATCCTTTATCTCCATTAGCAATGGCACGACCATGGTGTAGCATTTTGGTGGTACAGTAAAACACTCACATAATCACACGTCTGTCTCTGCTGCATCTTCCTCCAATGCTCTGATGTAGTCAATGTTCATAGTCTTGCTGCAAAAAAGCTCCAGCAAAAGCTGTTACAGGCTGCGGTGAGGAAAGACATTAACACATGAGGGAAACAAACACAGGTTCTGTAATTATACTTTATTGCAACTCTGATGCTTTGTCTGCTCCTGGAAGACTCCTTTAGCTAAATTTGTTTCAGGCATTTTTTTCTTCCGTACCAATTAAAACACAATAAGCATGTACAATTTTCTTATTATTTTATTGAAAAGGTACATTTAAAAAAATACACAGACATCTTACTATTATGGATTGCTGATAAAGATGCTCTAAAAGTTAATTCTCTTTTTTTTCCTTTCTTCCACCTGAAGTACTCATTATCATATAACAACTCCAGTCTGAGCACTGCATAATGATTCACCTTTATAAAAGGGTTGGGGAGGTAAGAAGATAGGTGGGACATTACTGTAATATATTCAGTAAACAGAGAATATGGTCAATTATAAATATTTTATGTTCTGTACATTATTGCATTAGGGAGCCACAATGTTATGCAGCATCATTACAAAGGAAACTAGTTAGAAATTAAGAAAACAGAATATTTACGTACAAACACATGGATCCATTGTCTTCTTGAACAACACATGTGAGCTGTGGCAATGTGCAATTGAAAAGCTTTTTTTTCTTTTTAAACATTGCTTAGCAACACCAGTGAAGAAACAACAAAAATAAGTTAAATGAAAGTAGCAAACAAGCAGTAATCTTAACTCTATGTTATATGGCTTTCTATTCTTGATTTCTCTAAATAAAGTATGACACAAAAGAAATAATTAAAAGCTTCAGCATTGCATTGCTTTCAAACATTTGCACAGAAACTAAAAATATTAAAGTCAGACATGGTACATCTGTAGTACTACACAAGATACACCAGTACTGGGGTCTAGGACAGCACACAATCCCTGTCAACAAGAGCACATGAAAATAATGGATGCAATTATTTTTTGAGATGTTATCTGCAATCAAGCATTTCTTTCATCTGCCTTTTCCTTTATTCCACATTAGATTATACCCTGTTGCTTTTCAGACAAGTATTTACATAGGTGTGAGTGAGGAAGACCCTAGTTTTCAAGTCTGTCAGGAAAATATTTTATGTTCCTTGATTCCAATGTGCACCATACAAATTAAAAAAAAAAAAAAGAAAAATAATAAAATTAATAGATGCATGAATCTTTAATGGTATACATTTTATGAGCAATTAAATTTTTAAGCAAATCACACTATTTTGATTAAAAAAATAGAGACAGAGAGAAGACAGAGTTGTCTAGACTCCAAAACGCAGTGCCATCAATGATGGATTTTATGATGTGGTTGGATGAGGTGTCATGCTGGATAGCATTGTAAAAGAGAAACATTTTAAAACCTCAACCCCTTTCCTGCTTTTCTTTGCTCTTTGTACTGGCCGTAGATATCTCTTTTTCACATCAATAAATTAGTATGGTGCAAAGAGTATGGAGGCAGGCGTTGCCCGGATGGGCCCGTGGGCTGGCCTGAGGAGAGCTGGCGGAATTGCTGGTGCCTGGAACAGGGATGCCGAGGGCCGGGGAGGGAGGGACAGAGCTGATGATACAGCTGCAGCTGCAGCAAGAGGAGATGAGAGGAAAGCAGGTGCCAGCGGCTTAATCATGTCCTTCTGGAATGCAAGTTTTGCCTGGAATAAAACACACACGCAAAAGCAATGTAAATACAGTTCTCCCAACGCCCACTTTTGCACAAGGGAAAAACTGAACCTGGCATAGGGTTATCTGTGGCTTATCATAGAAACTTCTTATCAGCTGCTTAGAAATGTTACCTGCACTGTCCCTTACTCCCAGGGCAATTAAAGCTACCGGATCCTAAATCTAAAGATAAATAAATGTCTTGAGTCTAAGAGACCATCTCACTGATGTTTAGAAAGAAGCATAATTTGTGAGTAACTTTATATAAATTATAACTGTGTGCATGAAATATTAAAAATAGTCTCAAGATTAAGACTTCAATATCAAAAGTCAAATTTTCCCCTTGCAAAATTGAATTGTAGAAAAGTAGAGTGGACAAGATGAAAGTGGTATCAGGCCAGTCAGCTTT